GCGTCGCCGCCGCTCGCAGCGAACAATGCGCCAGGAATGGGGCCAGGCGCTACACCACGCAGAATAAAATCATCGCATCATCACAATCACCCTCACCATCATCGACCTCATCATCATTTTAAACATCGTCATCGTCACCCTGAACCCTCGATCATCATCACCAGCACCATAATGATAGTCATAGCGTGCTCCTCCTCCACCCGCATCAGCGTCATCGTCATCGTCGGCATCGTCAACATCATAACAACCAGCAGTAGCAGCATCGTCATCACCAGGATCGCCATCAGCATCATCATCACGATCGTTCCCCTCTTCGCATTTCTCCTCCACTTCGTCGTTATCCATCTCGTTCTCCATCGCCCCTTCCCCTCCATTTCCCGGGCAGACCGCGCCCTGATCCCAGTCCTGATCTTCCCGTCCTCCCAGGCAGACCGCGCCCTGATCCCATTTCGGCTCGAGACATGTCGCAACCAGAACCAGACAGTCCACCGTGGTGGGAGCGTGGCGATGTGGGGGGGTATGGGCAGTGCGACGATAAACTCAATCCTCCGACGTGGGTTGCCTACGCCTTATTCAACGACGAAGACCGCGAGCAGCGCGAGCGGCTCCGCCAGCAGGGGGAGCTTCAACGACGAGAGCGCGAGCAGCATTGGCAGCAGGAGGCGCAGCGGCTTCAAGAGCAGAGGCTACAACAGCAGCGGGAAGATGAACTGATGGTGCAACGCATACTGGAGGAGTGGAAACAGGCCATGCGAGAAGCAAGCCAGAGGCAGGAGGAACTGGCAATGATGCGCGAGGAGGAGCGCATGCAGCGAGATCAACAACAACGACAACGACGACGCGACGACACCTGCGACAACATCAACAACGTCGACGTGCTGGTGATCTCGGACGAGGAGGAGGAGGAAGAGGAGGAGGAGGAGGAGGATTCAGATATGGTGCAAGTGCCAGGCACTGGCGGCATGGAGTTGGCGGCCGTGGAGATATCAGACGACGAGATGGACGTGGAGATGGACGCCGCAGCCGACAACACCGACGTGGACGAGGGCACCGCGACTGAGGTTGAGGAGAATTCGGATGCCGATACTGCGACCGAAGTTGAGTCGGAGATTTTTTAGGCGCAAGTGCACGTTGGGAAGATGGTGTGGTCTTGCGAGGCTTCGCCCGCGAAAAAAGAAATGCGCGGCGACTTGTTTTCCCGCGAGGCTTCGCCTATATGCAACAACCCCGATATGCCTTCGCAGAAGACTCCAGCAAAGAACGCCAGCCTCCAGAGCAAACGACGGGGACAAACACTGTCAACAACAGCAAGAGAACAGCCCCCTGCAGGGGCCCACCTTCCACAGCAGCAGAAACATCACAGAGGGTACCACCAAGACAACCAACAGATCACAGGTAGCAAGGGCAGCACGAGAAAACTCCAACTTTCACCGCGGCACCAGGGGCAACGAAGGGAGCATCCGACGGCAGCAAACACAGACGACAACAAGACATGCAACGGCAACGTGGAAGGAACAGCTGGCCAGGCATCGCCGACCAAGCTGCAGCATACAGCACCCAGCCTGCCCAAAGACTCCCCCCCCGAAAGGCAATGGCAGTTTCTCGTGAAAGCGTGGAAATGCAAAACCAAAAACTGGGAAACATCACGCCAAATTCAAAGGACATCTAACTGTCGCAGACCCCCGATACAAACAAGCCATACCGTCCATGCATTTTATGTTAACGATTTTTAAATGAAACCTATCTGTTCGTAACTGTAACGTATGTGTATACATGTATATCGCATTCTATTTAAGAAGTTAGCATAACTATAGTTGTGTTCAGTTACAAGTCTCCTAAACAGATACATCTGTTGGCGCAGTTGCATCTACTTGACTCAAGATGCAACTTGCTTAGCACGTTTGCAACATATGTTACCACGCTTACAACTTATGTTATAACACATATACAAGCGCCCAAGTTCCCCCGCCCACACAGTGGGGGCCCTCGCAGGGCCTCGGGACCGTCAAGAAACGGCTCAGGACGAAAAGCCGGTCCCGGGGCAAGGGTCGGGACTTCCAGGGGCGCCGTCCTGGAAAAATCAAGACGTCGCATGTCTGGGTCCGCATCCGCGCTCTTGCGCGGTCTGGGTTCTGGGGCGCGATCCCGCGGATGCCCAGTCGCACGGATGCATTCCGCGCGGGGCAGCGGGAAACGACGCCCCGTACCCGCGGGGTCGTGGCCCAGGAGCCTGGCCCGCGAGACCGTGGACATGGATTTATTGTAGTGGCCTCCGGCCAGTGCCGCCGATCCGGGGCGCTCCGGGTGCCTATGGAAATGAACGACGACGAGGAAGACGAAAACGACGACGAAAACGAACACGTCGACGACGACGACGAGGGGTCGTGGCCCAGGAGCCTGGCCCGCGAGACCGTGGACATGGATCCATTTTTTCACCCACGGAGGGGGGCCATGACAGGCCCGGATCTGCAACTTGTGGTCGTCCGGGTGAGTGAGGTGGCCCAGCACTGGGTCTGGCCAGTAGGATTAAGTCGGGCGTGTCCCTCTACAGGGGGAATATTCAAAACAAGTCAAATAATACTCTGGGAACTATTTTTTGAATCTGATTTTGACCATTTTGGTATGTTTTTTGAATATTGTAATGTTCCGTCCGAAATTCGCCTGTAGGGGGACACGCCCGACATGACAGTAGGAAAGGGGGGCTGGTCTGAAGTGTTGGGTCCGATGAGGTTTTTGTTACCTGTTCGGTCCCTGGGGGTCGCTTTCGGGTTCCTTTGAAAACGGATGCGGGGTGACAAACTGCACCAGATGCTTCCCGCGGGAGGGGTCTGGGGACGGATTTTGAACCGAGACTTTTGGCTTGCACCCCTCATTTCTCAGACCCCCTGGCCGCCTCTAACCTGCGACGATATGAGTTTTTTAAGACCCCCTTGGTTTCTCTTCGATTCGGGCTTCTTCAGGGCCAGCGGTGTGCCGCCTGTGCGAAGCCGCACCGCGACCTGACAAGTTACGTGATGGCCCCCCTCCCCTCGAAGAGTGTCCGCCCTCTCAAGTGGCTGGCGAGGTGCCCGCTCTGACCCGACGGGCGCTCGTCATTCTGGGCACCGGTTTTTCATCCTGAGCACTTGTGTGAGGCCTCCGGCTGTCAGGGCCAGCTGTCGGGCCCCAGGACGGGCAAAAAGAGATCCGGGAGGCGGAGACTTGGCCCCGGGGAGTGGGTGTCGGGGCTTCTGCGGCCGCAGACTGAAAAAAAAATCATATCGGCGGATGTCGGGGGGGGGGATCCTCGACCAAAACCGACATCAAAACGACCACACCACCCCACCTACGGCCCTCCATGTTACGCGACGGCCCAGCGGGCGCCGTAGCGCATGCCACTCAGAAGCCCACGCCAGATCTTCTGGTGTGCGCGGAGCCCCGTGGGGCCGTAGGTGGGGTGGCGCCGTTGCGTCTCCTGGTCCACCAGCATCGCCCATTTTCAGGCCCCCTCTCGTGGTGAGAGCGGGCGGCGCACGGCTTCTGGTGAGCCTTGTCTACCTCTCGCGAGGCCCTCGTCGCGCCCCGGGCGCCGTCGGAGAGCGGTGCTCGGGATGAAGCGCGGGTCCCGGGAGTGGGCCGCTCCTCGCAGGAGTGCGTTACGTGTTGACGAAGCATGGCGTCGGAGGTCGGGGCATGGGCCCCCCACCAGAGGGCGCCGGCCTGTGGGCTCGTTCTCGTAACCCGCGTGGGCATGACCACTGAGGCATTTGCACGCCGATTGGTGCACGTGTGCAGTTTCGATGATCTTCATGGTGGCCCTGTGCTCGCAGTGTTGAAATTGTTATTTTCATGAGCGGGCCCTTCGGTCATGGATTGGTGGAGGTCAAGAGAGAGCCCCGGGAGAATGAGCCCCCCACCGCGCCCATAGCGCGCGGCTTCGCCATCGGAGGCCTGTCGCTGATCCATCGGCATTGGTCGCCGACTCCAGGTCAGTGCCTCCCCCCTCAGCCAGTCCCAATCTCTTTCCTTCTCCGTCATGTCCTCCGAGTGTGGTTTGTGCTCAAGCCAATGACGTGTATCAGTGAAGGCTGTATCTGAGCAATCGTGCAGCCACTCATACCGACTCTGCTGAGAGAAGTTCACCAGTGCAGGCGACGGTCGGGAGCACCCGGAGCTTCCTTGCACGATCCGCCCGTGCTGATACGCATGCCGCATGCCCCTGGCCCCTCTGGGGCCTCTCTTGGGCCCCTCTTTGGGCCTCTCTTGGGCCCCTCTTGGGCCGTGTTGGGGCCCTCTTGGGCCGTCTTGGGGCTTGGGCCGTCTTGGGGCGATCTTGGGGGCCTCCTAGGCCGTCTTGGAGCGTCGGACGTCCGAAAAGGCGAGGGCGCCGAAATGCTTCAAGAACCGGAGGGAAATCATGTCTCTGCCCCCCCCCCCCCCCCCCAAGGCTCGGGCCGCACGAAAGGGTAGGATAGGGACAGGGGGGGGGATACGAAATCTGCTGCATGTAGCTGGTCCCCCCGCCGCGGGGCCCATTCCTTGATACATGGGCGCCTCCCAGCGCCATGAGGCGCCAGGAAAACCAGACACATGAGCTGAGTCTCTACCCTGCCCTTTGCTATCCTTCGGTCGGAGGTTGGCAGACCTCCTACCCTGACACGTCGATTAGTGAATTGGCCGTTTTCGGTTCGCGAGAGGGCGCCGCGGCCGTCATTTTTGCGGTTCCAGGTCCGTCGGTTTTGGTCCTATAGGCCGTTTTCACTAAATGGAGGTTCACCAAAGGGAGGTTGGTCCACCGCCGAATCCTACCTTTTTCGCCCCCCCCGGGCAGGCCCGGATTAGTAGGTCGACCCTGCCAGGTCAAGGGTACCCTTGTGTCCTGTGCCTCGCGACCCACGCCTCCTGCATTCCTATGGCAGTGCGACCCGCGGAAAGGGTCATGTGCCCTCTCGCGTGTCCTGTCCAATCGAGTCCGACTGCAGCTTTTTCGCCTCCCCCCCCCCCCCCCCCCACCCCGGCAGGCGCGGCACCCGAGGTGGTTGGGCGTTGCGTAATGGGGGGGTCATAAATGGGGGGTTGGCGAGCGTGGTCCGAAAAGGTACCCAAACGGTACCTAAACGAGCCCCCTGGGGCTCCGGAGGGGCCCGAAAGGGGCACGAAAGGGGACCTTTTCTGACCCCCCCATTTGTGACCCCCCCATTAAGCCACGACCAAGGTGGGAGGGGAGGGTCACGCTGACGCGCGACGGCAAGTTCCACCGGGAGAGCGGGCTCCTGCTCCCCGGCGACGCGGGCCGCTGGGCGGCCGAGGGCGGCGTCCTGCACCTCTGCTGGGAGGACTGGGAGCCGGAGGTGCTGCGCAGCGGGGACGCCGGGCGCTGCGGACAGAACGCCAGACATGATCGCGTCGTAAAAAGTCAGGGCGGCCAGTTTTTCCCGGAGAGCTCTCTGAGAGCTATATTGGGTTTTAGATCAGAAGCCGGGCGGTGGTGGTGCCTGCCAGCAGCCCATCTTCGCCGCTCCAGAATCCCCGCAGAAGGTTGTTTGGCCCGGCAGCTGGTCCGGGAGCGCTTCCGGCATGCGTCCACGCGCGCCTGCACGCGTGCAGGCACGTGCGGAAGCGTGCCTGGCAGAGCTGCAGAAGTGTTGCAGAAGCGCTTGAGGAGAGCTTTCCAGAGCTCGGCAGGCACGCTCCCCGGTGTGAGTGCCTCTTTGCTCTCTGGTGCTCTCCGGGTTTTGGACGCTACCAAGTCCACCATTTTCGGCCCTTGGGGGCCCTCGCCGGGCCTCGGGACCGTCAAAAAACGGCTCAGGACGAAACACCGGTCCTGGGGAAAGGGTCGGGACTTCCAGGGGCGCCGTCCTGAAATCAGAACGTCGCATGTCTGGGACACCCACCATGACACGTCGATTAGCGAATTGTCCGTTTTCGGTTCTCGAGAAAACCGCACGACCGTCCTTCTCCAAGCCTGCGCCCACCAAATTTGGACCCAAGGGTCGCGTTCACTGAACCACGTTTTGCCAAAGGGAGCTCTGTCCCATCCCCGAGTATAAGGAAGGGGTGGGGGCGATACAGCCAGATCTCCGATCGGGTATCCATCGCTCGGACGTGTGAATGTTTCTCTCGGCGAGGACCATGGAGGAGCATCCTTGATCATCGAGCCGAAAAAGCACACGCACGAGACCGACAAGTGCACGGGGAATGGACGTCCGAGCGATGGCAAGGTATGGTTTTTCCCATCCGGCGGTGTTCCTTGGAGGTCGGCCTCTGGGGCCCCCTTTATCGGGCCCTGCAGGACCATCAGGAAGGGGTTCGGCACGCAACGTCATCCCCGGGGAATGGGCCAGGAGCTCCGGGGCCGCGGCTTGGAACAATCACGCCGGAGGATGTTCGGGCGTATGGGTGGGGCGGCTGCAGGTGCCCGCGAAAGGCCCCCCCCAGCGGGGCCCAAGAGGGGCACGACGGGATGCACAAGACTCCCCCCCCCACACCCAGTCAGCGCCCCCTCCTTAAGCTTAAGTCGGGCCTGTCCCTCTACAGGAGGAATATTCAGAAATAGTCAAAAATAGTCTGGGGATGGTTTTTTGATCATTTGTTTGACCCCTTGGTTTTTTTTGTCACTGCTTTCATTTTTCGTCCAACATCCCTCTGTAGGAGGACGCGCCCGACCTAACATGAAGCCACGCTCGAGGACGGGGGCCTCAGCTTCGCGGACGCAAAGGGCTTCACTCTCACTGCCGAGCGGGTGCCGCAGTGGTTCTCCTCCCTGCTGCGCACGCACGCGCCGCCGGCTGGAGCCCATGCCCAGCCGCCCTGGCCTCCGCCCGGTGCGCCGGCGGCGCCGACGGACGCCTCGCGCGCGGCGTCGACCAGTCGGACGCAGAGGCCACCGCAAGACGACGACGACGACGACGCGGAGCCCATCCCTTCCGAAGGGCTGCGCCAGCCGGCGACGCCGCGCTCGCGGCCCGTGGGCCCGCCGTGGCACCCGGCGTGCCCCCTGCCGGCGCCCCCGAAGACGCTGCTCCTGCTGCAGCCGCCCAGGCGGGGCCGCCCCCGGCCCGATCCGATGCGCCAGCGGGGGCCGCGGCCCCGCGGCGGTTCGATTCCGTTCGACGCTCGCCGGCATCGGCGGGGGCCAGCCGGAGGTGAGGGCGCGGCGGTGCTGCTTCGATCCGACTCGGGGCGCTTCGCCCTGGCGGTCCCCGAGATCCGATGTGCCGTGCGTTTTTCAAGGCGGGGTCCCCGGGAGTCTCGACCCATGCCCCAGGACCGGCGTCTCGTCCTGAGTCGTCTCTGGACGCCCCCGAGGCCCAGTGAGGACCTGCCGAGGCCGAAGACGCGGCGAAACGCCTCCGTCTGGATTTTTTCCACACGCTGGATCTCTGGGATCCCCTCCGCTTCCGACCCGCTCCCCAGACCCCCGACGTCATAAATTTTTCATGGCGTCGACCCCCAGCGGTCTGGACCCGTTCCCCGGGACCGGTTCTTCGTCCTGAGTCGTTTTTTGACGGTCCCGAGGGCCGGTGAGGGCCCCCAAAGGCCAAAAATAATGAAAAACCTCCCGTCGTGATTTTGTCATAACTCGAGGGGGTCTGGCTCCGACGTCGCGATGCCGGCCCCGCAGCACAGGCCCGCCAGGGCGCGCCGGGCCTCTGCGGCGTGGGCCCGGGAGGCCAGCGCCCCGCCCTCGGCGGAGCGCGTGTGCACCGCGGGGGCCACCGCGAGCAGCGGGGCTTCCGCGCCGGCGCCGTGGGAGCTGACGTGCGTCTTCGCCCGCGGCCGCGACGTGGGAGCTCGAGGAGGAGGAGGAGGAGGAGGAGGAGGAGGGGGAGGAGGAGGAGGAGGAGTTGTTTTTTCTCGATTTTGGGCCTCTAGCGGCCCTCGCCGGGCCCTGGGACCGTCAACACAAAACGACTCGGGACGAAAAGTACCAGTCCTGGGGAGTGGGTGGAGATTTCCCGGGGCCCCGCATGGAAAAGAGCATGACGTCGGATCTCTGGGGAGCGCGAGCTGCACCTGCGCTCTATGGCAGAGGCGACGATGGGAGCGAACAGCCCAGGGGAGAGGAGAGCAGCACTTGAACCTCCAGGGGCGCCGATGATCTCTACGTCTGCGCCGAGGCTCCCGGGCGAGCACGTGTGATATCCCCGCCCCTGGGCTAGTTATACTGTATTCGCCCTGACCGTCGCCGCCGCCCGTGGGTTTGGGCGCCTGGTCGGCACGGCACGGCAGCAGTGCCCCGCCTCCTGGATCGCTCTGCGTGCTGGGAGGCGTGGGAGCCTCAGGCGTGCCTTGAGGAGGAGCCCGTTCCGCAGGTGCCCCCTGCGGGGCCGAGGTTGGTCGCTCTCGTGCGCTCGCGTGCCGAGCTTCGCTAGAATGACTGCTGCGCGCACCGCCTGTCGAAGGCCAGGACGAGAGCGTGGGTTTGGGCACGGCGCGCTCGGCGCGGCCGGTGCTTCGCGCACCCGGGGAGGCCACGGCACGGCTCGGCCCGGCCCGCGGGCACGGCACGTCACGGCCACCTTGGGCCGCACGCGGGGGGCCCAGGGCACGGCAGGGCGCGCAGGGCGCGGCTCGCGGGCACGGCCCTGCACCCCGCGCGGGCGGCGCACGGCAGGGCCAGCAGAGCACGTGTGTGCGCTCCAGAGGCCGAGCACGCGGCACGGCATGCGGGCGGCACGGCATGAGCGGCACGGCGCGGCGGAAGAAAGATCTGGCACCCCGAAGCCGCACACGCGGTCTAGAAGTCAGTTCGGGCCCTTGAGTTCGAGCAATTTCTCTGTTGAGGGGGAATGGGTGCAGATTTACTGGATCTGGACACGCGGCGCGAGACCTGGATAGACACATGCGGCCAGATGTGTGTTCAGGCGCTCGGACCCTCTGTGGCCGGGTGTGCCAGCCCTCCGCATGGGCGTCCAGCGCCCAGCGCGTGGCATGCAGCTGTTGTGCACCCAGCCCCGTGTGTTGCCAGCTTCCTTGGCAGTGTTCGGAGGTCCGCGCAGATGTATTGGATCGGTGCTGGAACCCCCTTTCTGGGGTGCGGAGCACGCCATGGGGTTCCAGCGCCGATCCAAGCACTCCGCGCGGTACTTCCTGAAGCGGTTATGTTTATGCGGCCTGGTGCCTCTAGGAACGCTGCCAAGGGCGGCCAAGACGGTGGAGGTGCTCGGGGACAGGCTCCAGGTCTTCGGCCGCGAGCACCAGCATTTTTTTTTCGAGCGCCTGCTCGGAGACGAGACCGGTCCCTTGCGCTTCGTCTCCAGGTTTACGGGCCCTCCAAAGTCGAGATGGGGCCGGAGCAGACGTGGGGGCGGAGGATCACGCTGTGATCCCGACTCCGATCTTCCCCATCCCTCCCGCGCCGATGCATCGGCGATGCGGTGCGATCCTATGTCCTCTGGCCCCGCCCGCCTCCGACAACACGATGTTTCACAACTTGGACCCCGGGAGGTCTGGGCCAGACCTGTTTCCAGGGACCGATGTTTCCTATTGCGTCCCTTCTTGACGGCCCCGTGGCCCCGCCATGGCCCCCATGAGCGCCAGAAATCGCAAAGAACAATCCGTCACCGTCGTGGTTTTTGTCACTACGAGATATGGGTCTGAGTGCGAGCGAGTCTGAGTGTGAGCGAGGGCGAGTGGGTCTGATTGCGAGTAAGTGTGAGTGTGAGTGGGTCTGGGAGTGTGTGAGTCTGAGTATGAACTGAAGAAGGAGGAGTAGAAATAGGAGGATGAGGAGGAGGAGAAGGAGTGGGAGGCGTCTGAGCAATGACAAGAAGCCCATCCTCGGATACTGGGAATGATCCTTAGTGATTCGTTGTCACGGTTCGAGGGGTCTGGGCGCCGAGGTCGCACTTCGCGCTCGAGCCGGTCGAAGGCCCCCACGCCGGGACGGTCCAGCTGACCAACCTCAGCAGCAACCCGCTCCACGTGGCCGGGCGCCGGGTGGCCCAGAACGCTCAGGCGAGCAGGGGAGGAAGAGCTGCCCACCCTGAGGTCCATTGCTGCAAGCACCTGTGGAGGACGATCAACGGAGGGGAAGCGAGATGCCAAATCTTTTCCAGATGTCTAGAGCATGTGTCAGAACTGTTGTTTAATGTAGAGCAACATGTTTCAAACACTTCCAGGGATTATTTCCTACATCTTAAGCACATGTTTAATTCGATGATAGGACTGTTAGGGTGTCCATTGTCGTGGCATCCACAAGCAAACGCATGAAGCACATCGCGAATCCTCCCGACCATGCAGAGCCTTGGACCCCGTCGTTCTGCACCATTTTTCGAGCCGGACCGATCCGAGACGGTCCCAGTGCCCAGTAGCGAGTGCAAGCGCTGGTGGTGAAACACTGCGGCGCCAGGATCTGATCGGGCCGGGCGAAGGGGGGGGATTGGGAAAGGGGGGGTTACGAAATTTGCTTCATGCAGCTGGTTTCGGCCTCGCCAAGGGGCCCCTTCCTCGATACAAATGCGCCTCCGGCGCCGGAAGGCGCCGGGAAAATCAGCTACGTGAGCTGATTCTCACCCCCCCCTTTGCTATCCCCCCTTTTTCGCCCGACCCGATCTGAGGGCGCACCGCTGCCCCGCCACCCGTGCCTCGTGTTTTTTTTGTTTGGGAGGGGGGGGGGGGCTGCTTCATCGGAGGCCTTCGTCGCCACGGCCGGATTCGCCTCGAAATTCGTGACGCTCCGCATATCCCCACCAGCCCGTCGCCCTCGACGCGCCTCCTCCTCCTTCTCCTCCTCCTCCTCCTCCTCCTCCTCCTCCTCCTCCTCCTTCCTCCTCCTCCTCCCCCTCCCCCCTCCTCCCCCTCCTCCTCCTCTCCCTCCTCCTCCTCCTCCTCCTCCTCCTTTCCTCCTCCTCCTCTCCTCCTCCTCCTCCTCCTCCTCCTCCTCCTCCTCCTCCTCCCCCAAAAAATATCCCCACCAGCTTTTCTGCCTCTGTCGCGTTGATACCTTCCCGCGCGTCGCCGGCGTCGATCTCGCTGTGCCTGGCTTTCGCTTCACGACCTGTGTGGACGGCGCGCAGCTGCCTGCGTCGCTCGCGGGCAAAAAGTATCCCCACCAGCTGCCTTCCGGGTGGTCTCGCCCCTGGGGTGGTTGCACTTCAGCTGCCTGGCACACCTGGCACCTCTTGCAGCTCTGCCTTCAGTCCCCGGCGTCGCCCGGCGTCCCTCGGCGGCAGCCCCGGCGGCCGTTAGTTCGCGCGCTAGGTAATTAGGTTTCGCTCGTAGCCCAGGCTGACTTCGGACGCCGCCTGCGCTTTCGCTTGCGGCCGCGACCAAAAAATATCCCCACCAGCCCATTCAGAAACGATGCCCATGAGATTTGACGGGGGGAGAGAGGAAGAGGCACGCATAGTCAAACAGCGAGGGCAGGCTTGGGAGGTGCCGTGGTCATCTCGAGCCGTCTTGGAGCGGTCCTGGGGCCGCTTGGAGCATCTTGGGAGCCATTTTCATATTGAGCCAGTTTGGGCTATCTGAGCCATCTTGGAGGTCATCTTGGGCTCTCTGAGGCCGCTCGGGGGCCTCTTGGGTGCCTCTCGGGTGCCTTTTGGAGCCCTCTTGGGGCCTCTTGGGGCGCTTTTGGAGTCCTCTTGGTGGTCTCTTTGGGGGCCCTGGAGCGCCTCTTTGGGCCATCTTGGGAGGCGGTCGGTCAAAAAAAGGGGGGGTCCAGGGCGCACCCGGGGAGAGGTCCAGTCAGGAGGGGAAAAACACACAGACACAATTAATCTACGATTCCCAGAAAATATTGGAAAATATGGGAAGTGGGGGGGAAGACAAAAACCCAGAAAGTATGGGAAGATATGGGGGATATCTTTATTTGTGTGTATTTATTTGTGTGTCCCAGTTCCCCTTCATCCAGGGAGCAGCGGTGTCGGTATCTTTGGGTTTCCCCAGGCGACCCTCCGCCCGCCGGTCGGCATCGACTTCCTGGAGGGCGCCGGCGCGACCTCCCCAGACCTCCGAAGCACTGAGAGGCAGTCAGCGCGGTGACCGTTTCCCGCTCTCGGGGCCCTCGCCGGGTTGCAGGGCCGTCCGTGTCAGGTGGCGACGCGTCCTGACTCGCCGATAGTCAGGAGGAAAAGAAACACACAGACACAACTAATCCTCGATTCCCCAGAAAATGCAGGAAAATATGGGAAGTGGGTGGGAAGACAGAAACCCAGAAAACATAGGAAAATATGGGGGATACTTTTATTTGTGTGTATTTATTTGTGTCCTGGGGCCCCTTCAGATAGGCCCACTGAAAAATGTTCGAAGAACGTCTTGTGGATTGCACGGAGCGCTCTCAGGAACTATTTGCTTGAGACACTTTTGTGTGCTACGACCTCGGCAGTCTGTTCTGAGAGCACTGCTTCTGTTATCGGAGCCCGCGCTCATTCTGAGACTACTTCGCGTTAGGCCGAGAGGAATGCGGAAACGGCGGGCCCCTGCTCAAGAGAATGGCTCGCGATGAAGAACCAGCCCTGGGGAAGGTGAGGACAGCACAGCCCACCCTCACCCCCAGCCAGGACCCCGACTCCCGACGCGGTTATCCAGGGGGTCCTGGCTGGGGGTGAGGGTGGTTCGTTGGCCCCCAGGAGAGCCACAACAAAAACCCACCCACCCCCAGCCAGGACCCCCTGGATCACCGCGTCGGGAATCGGGGTCCTGTCTGAGGATGGGGGGGCTGTGCTGTCCTCCGGAGGGGTCGGGTCCCGCTTTTTCGGGAGCTTGAGACGGGGGTCCCTGCAAACTGGGGTCAGCCAGAGCGCCCGATCTTGCAGGATCCTGCAGGGCCAAGGTCTCATTGACCCGGGCTTGGGTGCAGGATCCTGCAGGAGCTTGCAGGATCCTTCGCCTTGACCCGGGCTTGGGCGCAGGATCTTGCAGGATCTTGCAGGCCTGACCGACCCGGGTCTGGACTGACCCGGGCCAGAAGATCCCCAGCGTTGGACGGGTCAGTGCCTCGGTCGTCTGGGCCCGCGGCCCCCGAGCTCTTCCTGAGGCTGCTGCTGGAGGAGCCCGAGCTGGACCACGACGCCCGCCCCTGAGGCGGCACCCGGCGCGGTCGCGCGCCCTCACCCCCAGGGGCGCGGCCTCGTCGGGCCCCGTGCCCGTTTGTTTTTCTTTCTGCTTCTCCAGGGGGGGGGGCTCAGGGTCGTGATGCTCCAGCGCCAGGACAGATGCCGGAGCTGGAGGCTGTTCACGCGTGTCGGGCCCCGGGAGGCGACGCTCTCGTTCGACGCTGCTTCGGTACCTTTCTGGGTGCTCGAAGTTCTCTTCTGGGGCGTGGCCCCGAAGTCCGACTGGAGCAACCTAGGCCCAGGGTGCACTTCGCTCCGATCGATCGGGCTCGATATCGGCTCCCGCCAGCCCGATTCGACTCGACCTCGCTCTTCGGGCGACCCGCTGTGATGTGGCCCGGGGCTCGCACGGCGACGCGGGGCGTCCTGCACGGCGCTGTTGGGCATCCTGGCGCCGCCGCTGCGATCCGATTCCGGCTCCGTGCCGGTGCGGTCCGGTCCGCTGCGCGCTCCGGCCCGACCCGGTGTTCCGATGTGCGGCGCTGGCTGTTCTTTCTTGGGGGCTCTCGCGGGCGCGGCTGGGCGCGGCTCGATGAGCTGGTCGGGAGGGGCCCCGAGAGGATCAGCATCGCTTCACCGGTCCCCATCCCGCATCCCCATCCCCATCCCGAGCCCCACCGTCTCACCACACCTGTTGGGGCTATACCCCTCGGGAGCCCGAGGGGAGCAGCCTATATATCCCCCTCTCGGGGGGCACATCAGCCAGTGGGGCCCAGGCCACGCCAGTGGGGATAGGGATCGGTGAAGCGCTGCTCAGCGGGGCCAGTTTTGATCGGTGAAGCGACGGCGACGACGACAACGGCGACGGCGACGACGACGACGACGGCACAGCCTCCGTGGAGAGGGCCTCCGATGAACAGCTGGTTCGGGGCAGAGCCCCATGGAGTCCAGACCTGATTCCTTCAGGACCGAATTCTTTCATGAAGATGTATCGGGTGCTCGAGCGTGGCCCCATCGCGAAGCACTTCCGCCCTGCTTTCGCGCAGAAGTCCCCCGAGGACCGCCCGCAGGTAGAAGGGGGTCCATGTCCGAAAACGTAAACCTGGGGAGTGAGCCACGGTCCATAGAATCCTGCTCCTCCTCTCCCCTCTACATTTCCCGAGCCCGGAATCGCTTCAGGCTGAGTCGGCCACTGGCCGCGCAGAAGGCAAACGCACACCGCTTAGGCTGGCCGACCCGAGCTCGCGCCGTCGCCAGACGCCAGCTGCCCAACAAAAAGGTGGCACTAGCTCATCTTCCTCCTTCTCCTCCTCCTCCTCCTCCTCCTCCTCCTCCTCCTCCTCCTCCGCTACCTTACTTTCCCCCCTTCTCCTCGAGCCACGGCCACGCCTCCTCCTCCCACATTCCTCCTCCTCAGCACCCTCGCTCCCTCCTTCCTCCACCTCCTCCTCCTGCCCACCCTCTCCTCGCTCTCCTCCTCCCCCATCCCTCCCTCTGGGCCGCCACCCGCGTGCACCCTCCAGGGCTTGCGCGCCTCGCCGGGGTGCAGCGCGGCACCTCGCGCGCGGCAACGACGCGCCACGACGCCCCCCCCCCGCGTGCGCCTCCCGCGCGCACCTCCTGCCCGCCCGCCGCGCGCGCACCCGCAGCGCGCGCGCGCGCCCGCGCGGACCCGGCGGGCGGGCTGCGCGCGCCATGCCGGGCAGCCCCGCCTCGCGGTGGCCCACCAGCCCGGCCGGGGCCCCGGGCGCCGGCCGAGAGGAAGCGGGGCCCCTCTGGGGGCACCCAAGCAGTGGCCACACCGCGCGGCAGAAGCCGCGGGGCTGTCGGACACGCTCGAGGGTTCCAGCGGGGGCTTCCTGCCTCGGGATGCGTCCCGGCAGCTGCGCGCCGCCGAGAGCGCTCCCGGGGTGCCCGGGTCGCCCGCGGCGGCCGCCGGAGGCCCGAGTTATGGCCCAGAAAATAAACGGTCGGAGGAGGGCTGGTGTGGTGAGCTTCTGGGGGTGATTCGGGTCCTCGGAGCCACCGCGCGGTCCTGCGACCTGGGCCGCTCTCCGAGGACGCCTCGGGCGATTGGGGCCTGCAGGGTCCCGGCGCCGTGCGGTGACGTGTCACGGACCGCGCGGCGAGGGCGTCACACGGTCCGTCGCCACAGCGCTCAGGGACCCCCAGGTCGTGGCGGGGCCATGGGATCTCCCAGTCCACGGTGCATGGCCCCCCTCTTCTCATCTCAGTCTGTTCCCTGGCCCCCCGGTTGCCCGCGCACGTGCCTCGGGCTATATGAGGCGCCCTTCCTGGCTGGCCCTCCCTGGGCGGACCCGGTGGCGGCGACTGCTCGGACTGCATGTGAGGGTGACCCCTGCCAGGGTGGCCCTCCACCGGATCGAGGCCGGAGGTGTTCGGGCGTCTCTGCGTGGGTCTTCGTGTTCTGCAGCCTCGAGGCACGTTCCAGCAGCTGCGCCTCGGTGAGGGCGTTCCAGGGGTGCCCGAAAACCAGGGGGGGGGGGGCACCGACTTCCGCGCCAGAGCGCACCCATGCCAGCGTGACCCTTGGGCGCGGGGCCGCAGGAGTCCCCCCAGCCTTGCCTTGTGCGCTTGACTTTTGCCTTTCCACCCACCCCCTCGGCCACCAGAGGCTGCGCTCCAACACTCCCGCCCGTTTGCCAAGGGGGTGTGGGGGGGGTGGGGGTCGAATATCCGCCGGAGCAATACAAGCGAGGCCTCTGTGTCCCTCTCGCCCTCGTCTTTGCGAGCGAGCAGCAGTAACTCGGGGGCGGCCTGACCAACGGGACTCGTCACGGAAGGTGTCGGCGAGGCTGAGCCCGAAATCGAGACAGGAACGTCCCAACAGTTGAATTCCATGGTCGCCCGACGGACTGGACTCGACCCAGCCTCCCCCCAGGGACCTTTGGTTTCGCGCACGCTCCCACACGAGTCCAGGCCCACCAGGTCGCTGTATGGTCTGGCCTAATCTGCTCGTGGGTACACGCCGGTCGCCGGGTAATCCCAATCTATTTCAAGCGCTTTCCTACTTCAAGAATCGACACGCTTTTGCTGGGTTTTGTTATTCCCTGGGGGGGCCTGGACCCAATCAAATTAATCCGCCTTCCTAATTCATGTTTTTGCTCACTTCTTCCGACCGGCGTGTACTCACGAGCTTTCCCCTCCTCTTTTTCTGCGTCGCCCGCATTCAGGCCAAGAGGCCGCGGCTCTTGCGAAAACAAAAAAGGAGCGACGAAAAAGACACCGGGCCGTCTGCGCCGACATAGGCGCGTGAGCTTCCCGCGTGAGCTGCTTGGCTGTTTCCCCTTATACCCTCCTCTTCCCCCTTTCCTTCCTCCCCTCCTCACTCCTCCTCCCCCCCTCATCTCTGTACTTTCCTCCCGTTTCCTCCCTCCCTCTCCTCCTCCTGTTCCCCTGCGCCAAAAAGGTACTGCAGCTGCCATGTATTGCAGCTGCAATGCACATGCAACGCAGTGCAACGCACTGCAACGCAACAGGCTGCAACGCAATAACTTGCAACGCACTGCAATGCCATGTAATGCAATTAATAACACTGCGGCGGGATGCTATGCAACGAAGCGCAACACGCAGCAATGCGACGCAGCACAATGCAGCGCAGCACAATGCAACGCAACGCAATGGAAGGCAATGCATTGCACTGCAACGCAGTGCACTTCGACGCAATGTGCGCCTCGTCACGTGGCAGCGCCGCGGGGGCCGAACAACACGCTTTCCCACTCCACTCGCCACGCGGCAACGCCTTGGCGGGCGACAAAGTACTGTTACACTCTACTCGTCACGTCGCAGCGCCGCGGGGGCCGAGAAGAATTAGATTCCACTCCTTTCGCCACGTGTCACCGCCTAGGGGGGCGAATAACATAGTACTTCACTATATTGGAGAGGCCGTGCGGCCGGTGCCGCCGACCCTGAACGACGACGACGACGCTGACGTGGGCCAGAGTCCTCAAGGATGCTTCTTGGGTTCTTTTCGGAGCGCCCTCGGGTGCCTCTGGGGGGTAATGTGGGGGCCTCTTGGGAGCCTCTTGGGGGCCTGTTGGGAGGCTCCTGGGGACCTCTTGTTGGGGCTTGGGCGCATCTTGGGGGTTTCTTGGGGGCATCTTGAGGGCTTCTTGGCGCTTCCTCGGAGCCTCTCAGGCCGAGGGCTCGAAATGTCCGTTCGGGACCCCCCGTTTGGGCACATATTGGAGCCGTCTCGGGGGCCTCTTGGGCCGTCTTGGAGGTTTCTTGGGCCTTCTTGGGGGCCTCTTGGGTCGTTTTGGGGCCGTCTCGGGGGCCTCTTGGGCTACCTTGGGACGATCTTGGTCCCTCCTGGGGTGTCGGAAAGCCGAAAAGGCGAGAACCCCCAAATCTACTAAAAACTTTGGGGAAATCAATCAGGGCCTCTTGGGGCTCTCTTGGGAGTGTTCTTGGAGGCCTCTTGGGGCGTCTTGGAAACCTCTTGGGCCGTCTGGGGGCTACTTTGGCGTCTTGAGCCGATCTTGGGGACCCTCTTGGACCTCTTGGACCGTCTTGGGGTCCTCTTGGGGCAGTCTTGGTTTGTCTTGAAGAGTTTGGTGCTTTGGAACCCCCTGGGGGGGGGGGGGATTCCGATCGGGGACCCCCCCACGACCCCCCCCGATGTCCCCCGAGACCCCCCCCCAGCGGGGGATCAAGGGAAGGGGCCTCCCGTCGAATGAATTGCGACGTTCGTTATTGTCGTTTGGGCTTGCACGCTTGAAGAGAAAGGCACAGGGTAAGAGAGGTAACGGCTGGCGCGTCGGAGAAAGCTTGGAATTGTGGCGGCGTCGACGATGACGACGAGGAGGAGACGACGAATGAATCAGCGACGAGTGAAAGCGCTTCTTCCACACTCCGACAGGGTCGGCGGATGCGTCGCGTGGCAGCGCTGCTGGGGGCCTGCCGGAACAGATACTCACCCGTTCCACTGGCCGCGTGGCAGCGCCTGAGGGCACCAGCAAAAGCAGCATCCCGCCCACTCGAGCTGTCGCATGGCAGCGCTGCGGGGGTCGAACAACAAGTAGTCCACTGCTCGTCACGTGGCACCGCCGCGGGGGCTGGAAAGAAGACTGTGCCGCTCCACTCGCCACGTGGCACCGCTTGTCGGCGCGGAGAAATCATGCTCCATCCTAGCCGTCACGTGGCAGCGTCGCGGGGGCCGAAACAAACATCATGCCACGAGGGCGGCGACGAGGACGACGACGGGAACGACGGCGACGACGACGATGACTAGGTCCAGGGAGGCGAACACGAATTCTATCCTATCCTCCTCCTCGCCCTTCTCCCTCCCCCTTTCTTCTTCCCTCCTGCGTCCTTCCTCCTCCTTCCTTCCTCTCCCTTCCTCCCTCCTCCCCCCCGCCTCCTCCCCCACTCCTCCCTTCTCACTCCTCCTCCTTCCTCCCCTGTTCTCTACCTTCCTCCCTTCTCCTCCTTCATGTCCCCCCCTCGCCCACAATTTGCCGCAATTCGCGGATGGCTGGTCGGTCGGTAGGTCGGTTGGTTGGTGATGGTGGGCCGCCACGTGGCAACTCTTGGGCGGGCGACAAATGCTATTCCACTCCACCTGTCACGCGGCAGCGCCGCAGGGAGGCTAACAAACATATGAGTCCACTCTATTCTCGGAAACTGGAACGCATACATTATCAGTGGCGTGCTGTTTCTTGAATCCCCTGACTTTTTGAGGGTCGGGGACGACGCTGAGGTGGTGTGGTGTATACTTGTTTCCCCGATGTCCCGGGAAAACAACAAAACGTGTATACACCAGCATTCTGTATACACCAGAATCCGCGTTCCTGCGCGAATTTCAGCGCAAGGGTCGGGACAAGCGTCGGTGTATATATATATATATATATATAGAGTTCATTCCACTTTACTCGTCATGTGGCAATGCCTGGGAGCGACGTAACAAAACACGATGGCGCTACTGTGTCGTTTTTAATACATGTTCCGCGTGCGGATCATGTATTAAACATGCAGGGTTTTGTAATAAAAAACAACGGGGAGTTCATGCATTAATTTATTCATACATTTATTCATACATGTATTCAAAATCCAATATTAAAAACAAAGTCCTATGTATTGAAAGCTGCCCTGTATTCGACACGTGGCAACGCCGCGGGACCGAGCAGCATACCGAGCCACGCTCGGCTCGCCACGCGGCAACGCATGGGGGCGCGAAGAGACGACGTGGCATCCATTCTGCAGCGCCACGCGGCAGCGCCGCGGGGGGGCGCGAGCAAATCTGTTACATTG